ACGCGATACATATTGATATTGAATTATTGTCCAGCCCTACTGTAAATATGTATTCAACTTCAATCTGCTGAATGAAGAAAACATTTCAAGACTCACACCTGTAAGCAAGTGCTGTTGTCAAATCCCAAATAGTGATTCTGAATGCAGCACAGACATTACTGATAGATGCCTTTTAATTCTTCTACTTTTTTCATGTTGAGATTATTGTTATTATATTTGTAAAGTAAGTATTTTAGAAGAAAATGTTTAAATAAATTGTTTAAAGATTAATGGCAGAAGTTATGGTTATTTATTGGAGGGTTAACTAAGGTTATTGGTAAGGATTAATTGACTAATCAGAAACTAATAAATAGGCCTAGATTCAATGTTAAAAATAATCAATAGATTAATTGGAAAAATTATCGATAGATTAATCTATTATCAAAATAATTGTGTTACAGCCCTACTCTGAACTCTTGTTTTAAGCCATTATAATTCCCACATATGTACGTTAAAATAAACCTACAATATCAACTACAGTTAATCCAAGTAAGTGACAATATACAGTCAGATAGTAATTATCGCAAAATAAACCTTACCAGGGGTATATTATACTTATTACATGGCTACATATCAAATACGCAAGTAAATGGACATGAAATATTGATTTGAGTAGAAATAATTATATCATGTGAGAAGAAAGACACCACAGAGTGATATGAGAGACATGAAAGCATTACAGTGAGATTGGCTGCCAGGACAACAGTCAAATATGACTTAGTGGTCATTATACAAAAATATCTGAGAACTGCAGAATGCCATAATCAAATCCTCCAACTAAATACTGAATACTATACCAAATGCACTTATTGAAATTGTAGTATTTACTAATATTTTAAATTAGCTTTATATATATTTTTTTTATGTATGTGCTTTTGTTATTTTTTAAATATTTCTATGTAGCTTTAAATTATTTTTCAGTTTTAGTAATTTTAGTATTTATTTCATTTCAGTTAGTTGTGAAGACAACATTTCTCATTTTTGTTTTTAAGTTCATCAAATATTTATGTTTTCATTTTATTCCAGCTTTATTTTAATTACCTAAAATGATTTTAGTTTTAATTTTAGCTAACAATAACAACACTGGTTATCACACAATCCTTTTATCGCCACTTTATAAAAGCATAAAACACATTAAGAAATGTGTGCGTTTTGTGAATTTTAACTTGTGCATATGATCAGCTCTGAGCAGGAATATAGTCTTCTTTGCTACATCTGGGAGGCTAGACATTTAAAATAAATAAATAAAAAATGTTAGACTTTCTGCCATTTCTCCTGCCCCATTAGTTTTCTGGCTCACCCTGCTGTCTAAATCACACATTTGCCAGTTTAAATGTTGAACACATCCAGTATTCGTGCAGAAGTTTGCAAATACTGCTGGAGACAGCACCTAAACAGCACTTGACCACAGTTCAAGATCAATAGAAGGAGTTTCCCTGGAGCCACTTTCTGTCGCTCACTTCAGCCTCCTGCTCCGGCTTTAACGGTGTCCCAGTAATTAGAGGAGATGGTGCAAACACACAACTCATGAAAAGTACAACAATGTCTTCTAGGGGTGCTCCGATTGATCGGCTACCGATCACTATCGGCCGATAATCACATTGGGATGATTGATCGGCGGTCTCTAAAAAGGCCTATGTCAAAAAAACGATCTCAAGCTGATGACGCTGCTGTGAGAGGTTTGGCACGACATGCAGCGTCACCGTCTCAGTCTGGCGCAGGTTTGCAGTGCATACGTGGTGCGTATTTTTTCCACGCTCATGTTAACGGATTAAAGCATTCACTGCACACAGCTGCGGCCCGGCAGTGCGTTCAGGAGCGGTGCGTCTGCATAAATGATAAAAAAAAGGCTTTAAAAAGATCGGTATCGGCAGGTACTGCTTTCTGTGATCGGAGATCGGCCTCAAAAATCCTGATCGGAGCACCCCTAATGTCTTCTCGCCCACACTTCACAAGAGATAACAGCACAAACAGCACGAAGCAAGAAAGAAGCAAACAAACAAGTAAAACACTAAATGTAGCTGGAAAATGTCTCGCTAAACTTCCAAAGCTGAACTGCTGAAGTGTGCATGCTACAATAACCTTACAATAACTAGCAAAGCTTGAGCTCAATGAAGAATTAATGTGGAATTTTAGCATGCTCAAAAAATGACTTTTGCAACTGCATTCTCTTTTGATATTGATTTAGTTGATAGTTGCGCTGTGAATATGATAGGAATTTGATCATGGAAAGTTCCATGAGATCAAATTCCTATCCTCATATTCACAGCACAACTATCAACTAAATCATTATCAAAACTCACTGACCCTGTGTAAGAGTAACCATTGTGACATCAACATTACTAAACACGTGCCTTTACAAGGATGTCAAATCTCTTTCCAAAAGTAAAACAGATAGACAGATAGACGGATAGATAGACAGTAGGCATGGGCCGAATACCGGTTTCAAGGTGTACCGCGATTTGAAAATGTCATATTTTAATATTTTCCGTTATACCGTTCCTGCGGTATGCACTGTTTTTCATGTCTCCTCAAAGACTCACTGTAGCAGGCAGATCATTCACTGTTCATGATGAACTATTGGAAGAAAATCCTCAATATTGATTTGGGGGTTTATATGAATGTGTTTCTGAGGGGAACTGACTGTCTTCAGAAAAGTTTATGTGGTATTTTCTTTTAATCTCGTCTCTGTATAGTTCATATTAAAGCAGTGTTTCAGCGGCAGTGCTGCTTTGTTTACAGTGGTAACCAAGGAAACGCTGTATCTGGTGTTCCATGAGCGCCTCCTGCTGTCAGAGAGTGAATATGCGTTTCATTCAGAGCTTCTGCTGTTTTGTTTTGTTCAGGCATGTAGTTTAATTATTTTCACAAAGCTAGTCAGAACATTCTGTTTTTGCTTCAAATTGGGTTATTATTAAATCTAATTATGTATATGAAATGATATAACTAAATTATATGAAATTATATAAATGATATGTATATGAATTATATAACTCAAATGAAATAACTGTAATTACAGATTTAGGTTAAATAAAGAGGTCAGTCTTTATTTTTCTTCTTTTTAGGAAACATATCAAAGAAAAAAATTAACAAATTCTACTGTTCCTAATATTCTGTACGTTGCTCAATAACAAAATATATTGTGTTCAGCGGGAAAAAGGTTTTTTTTTTTACCCAGTCATTTAAAATAACACATTTTAGAGCTGTAACAACAATACCGTGATATTTTGAAACCGTGATATTTTGCTTAAGATTTAATTAACTTAATTAATTAATTGATTAATTAATTAATTAACTGACAGACAGACAGATAGACAGATAGATAGATAGATAGATACATAGATAGATAGATAGATAGATAGATAGATAAAACAGCTTAAAGTTTGTGAAATATAATGCTCTCAGTGCCACTGCGCTCAACAAGGCAGCCCAAACGACGTAACAGGCAACGTGCTGTCTGCCCAGTGGTGTAACGTTAGCGGACGGGCACGCACTGCGAAAGGCCCCTCAATAACCTCCCCTTGCTGGGTTGGGTTGCCTTGAAAGACGATGATCTTGTATCGACGATAGACAGAGATATTGTCAAAAACATCAATTGTTGGCAATATTAAGATATTTGGCATTTCCAATGAATGTAGGCCTGTTACATTCTTATTTTTATTAGGCCTATTATTATTATTAAATTACTTTTATTATTAAATTAAAATTGCAATTAATTTGCCCCGCAATAATTACCAAATAACTGACACGCCGCGAGGATAACAAAAGATTAGGCTATATATTTACTCCAATTAAAATGTTTTAAAAAGGTATTTTAAAACAGGTCTACAGTATACAATGAATTATAGGCCTATGATTAAAATATGAACATCTCAGTCATCAATAAAAATCAATGAAATAAAAAGCTTTTATTTCAAGCACCGACTTTCAAAAACAACCTGTTTAACATGAAATATGTTTCTTCTATTTTTTTTTTCACTAGGCCTATGTAATATTAGAAATATTAAGGGAATAAATAAAAACAGTTAGCTATTTAGCGTTATCAGCATATGTTGAAGTAGATTCGTCTCTCATCGTCTCTGAGAGAATATGCAGCGTCAGATGCCAAAAGCTAGTGCTGGGCGGTATGACCAAAAATTTAGATCACGGTATTTTTCAAAATTATACCGGTTTCATGGTACATGACGGTATTTTTTTTTTTCATGCATGACCGGGTGTTAACCATATCTTTTACTGATTGAGAAAGGAAATACTGCAGTATATTGACTTAGAATGCCCTATTTTACTGTCATGATG